ATTTCAAGCCTGTTATTTTTATAAAACAAACTCAAACGCATGTTTCTAACCACATATGTTAATGCTGACATTAACAACAGCAACTTACCTTGAATATAAAACTAATCTGAGTCAATTAGGGACCAAAATTTATGTGGAACAGCAGTCCCACTTCCCTCTATGGTTCAATTGATCTAGGGCTGTGTCTCATTTCATCCAATCCAAAAACAGCAGACAGTCAGCTCAGGCTGCATGAGCGCATGATCTCTTAACTCACTAAAATCTACAAACCAAAGATTATTCTCCTTAGAGACGAACCGATCCGCTCTGCTAACACAATCAAACACATTAGAAATAAGAAAGCTGACAAAACTACATCAGAGTATAAGGGAAACATCGAGGGTTTTTTTTTTTTTTTTTTTTTTTTTTTTTGACTTGGAGAGTAAAGTCGTAAACTTAGGAGAATAAAGTCATAAAGTAAATAAAGTCATAAAGCTGCTTTTGTGGAGGGGAAATGACTAAAGCTGGTCATCTGCAGGGTTATCGGTGGATACATCGGTGGGTCAATCAGAGAGCTTTTGTGGTTTTTCAAGAAACTAACTGATGATCAACATTTGTGATCCAGAGGGAGTCAAGCTCCGACGAGCACCACGTCTCTGACACCAGTGGTAACCTACACCTGCAGAGACACCAACACCTCATTGTGGCATATGGATTAATATCATAAACTAAAGCTCAATGTCATTCACGGATATTTACGGCTGCATTGATGGATTTATCCTCAGCATATCCATATCTGCCTCCACAAAAGCAGCGATTTCCTCCAAGTCTTGAGCACGCTCAGCCGTATGCAGTCTCTGAAATGAGACACAGCGTAGGGCATGGTATGTGTCAAAAGTGCAGCGGGGTTACCTACCAGTGGCGGCTGATGAGAAAATAGCAGGTGGGGCTGAAAGTTTGGAAAACAGAGCCCTGTAGGGGGGTCTGTGAGATATTTTTTCGTTTTCAAAAGGTTAATGAATCATTCTGGTGCTTTCTAAGAAAATAGTTAAGGAAACATATGATGTTGACCTACAAAGACAAATGGGGTGGGGATACTGTATTTCAACTCATTAACAGGGTATTATAGCCGACACACAGCCTACCTACATTCAATGTAATCCTATGATATAGAAACTGACAGCAGCATACTCTTACTCGTGTACACCCACCTGCATCTCAACAGGTTAGGCTACAGCAAAGGAGCACACAAAGACAAATGCAGAACAATAGTGAAGAGCAGACCCACATCTATAACAAATCAGGCTGCATATCAAAGTGATCAGCCAAGGAAAACAACACAAACATTTGCTTTAAATACAGAACAATTTTATTACATTTGATATTTCAGTTGAACTGAATTGAAACTGAGTGAACAAATACAGGGTTCACACCATAGACCAGGGGTGGGCAATCATGTGCCATGGAGGGCCAAGAGGCTGCAGGTTTTCTTTCCAACCCAAAACTCCACCCAGTGGCGGTTCTAGACCAAATTACTCCCCGGGCGAGCACCCCTCCAAAAAAGCTGCTATCTCAGCCTCTGTAGTAGATAGAAACAAAATTCAAAAAGTATTTGAGAGCTTAAACATGTGGCTTTCAAGAAAGCTCTCTTTTAGTTTTGCGAACCTTCATCACATTTTTGAAAACCTTGAACAAACAAACTTAAATGAAATAAAGCGGCTGAATAAATAAAAGTAAAGGCTCTGCACTGGAGAATGACAAATAATTTGTTTTCTGTAAAACAAGTGGCAGTCATGATAAAGTGTCCATTCAATACAAATGTAAATATAGAAAATAAGGTGTTGAAAGGGTATACAGCTGCCCCAGTATAGTGCCAGTACAAAAGCAGAACTAAAAACTAAAAAAATGAATAAATAAATAGGTGGCTGTAGTGATTTGAAGTGAGCCTCATACGGTCGCACCAAAATATATGTAGCGATTTGAAATGAGCCTCACAAGGCCGCACCAAAATAATACTTGGCGATTGGAATTTATAATAAATGTCTGAAGATTAATAATCTCAAATTATGACATTTATGCACTCGTTGAAAGGGGCACCACCCACCCTTAATGGTGGGAAAATAAAGAAAACAAAAGTTTAATTCAGAAATCAAACATCAAGTCAGTTTTAATTAATCAGTCTTAATTAATCAGTCTCATATCTTAAGTCGAAATTCTAATTTCAGGGACTCCACTTCTGGAAGAACACTAACAGACAGGAACTTAGAAAAATAATGATCTGTTTATTACAGGATAAATGATGGTACAACACACATGCAATAAATGATGATAAGATAATGAGGATAAATAATAATAGGTGAATAAATAAAGATTCTGAGTCAGGCTAGGAGCACTAAAGTTAATGATAGTGAGTGAATATGCGCTAACATATTAACCTACACTAACTTTGGTGTCGAGATAAACTCGGATGTGGATTTGGAGGAATCTAAGATCACCAGAAATAGGTGGATATCTGAGTTATGAACGCATGAGACAGCACCAGCCCTCTCTGGAGCTCTGGAGGTTTGCATACTTAAGTGAGACTGGTCCTTGGAGAAGATGGAGCAGGTTCCGAAGGTCCGGGGCTACTGGCGGTTCGAGCGGTTCAGCTCAGAAGACGACTGAAGTCAGCCGAAGGATGAGCCAGGAGTTGCAGCACTCGGGCCCGAAGCAAAGCCAGCGCCTGTGGATCCTGTGGATGCTCGTTTGGGTACTTCTTTGGTCTCACTTAAAAACTCTGGCACAGAGGATGACCTGGGCCTGCTGGGTTGCGTTCAGAGGTGACTTTGAATCACGCAGAAAACTCAGAAAAACGAGGCTCAAAGAGCAGAGAAAACTTTCAAAAATGGCTTCGCGAAATTAAAGAAAAATCAATCAAAGGCTTAATCTTGAATTGCTATGTGCACAAAAAGTTGAAGTTTCAAAACTTGAACTAAGACGATGTTAAAGAAAAATCAACGTGAATCAACACGTGGCGTAAAACTTAGAAGACTAAGAAAAAGTTCTAAGAGAAAACAAAGAAACGCACCACAGAAGGGTGTGGGCAGAAGAGAAGGGGCATAAGAGCCGGGGACAAGAGAGTCAGCAGAAGAGCAGAAGCATAAGAGGAATAAGAGGCATAAGAGAGCCTGAGCAACCCGACTTCACTGGTTTTATCTTCTCACACTGGGAGTGGCTCCGGCGTGTGTGTGAGACAGAGGAGGGGTCGTGGAATCTCTGATTATTTGATCTAACTTATTCTTTTGGCTGGTAAAAGAGTCAGATCTGATACTCACTCACTATGATTAATATCATTGAATGCTTGGTTTCATGATAAATAATTTGATACTAAACACATATGAATGAAGTGTAGGATCACATCAAACATTCTCATTATGTTTAAAGTATCACATTGAACATGCTAAATTACTCTGAAATGAAACAGATAGTAACACATGGAAACTGTGAACAACAAAAGAGTAAATACATGTGAATGAACTTCATCATGATTAATAATGGATTCTAAATACTCACATTAAGGTTATTCAATGACATTATAACCACCTAATGGTTAAAAATACTAAATAAACATCTACAATATAAACCAAACATTTCTAAACTGTTTCTGTTACCTAGAGTTAAGTTATGATTCATAGTCGATAAATTTAACTCTTAAAAGTTCATGAAACAGTCTGAAAGGCTGTTGGTCTAAAGAAACTAAAGAATAAAGGATTTATTCTGTAACTCGGCTTCTGGAGCACATAGAAAAACGGAAAACATCTCATTTTAACACAAAGTTCATGATTAGACAGATTAGTACATTGCTGAATGCATAAGATGTCATGATCAGTCATTTGTATTCTTTCACCAAAGGAATGTGGTCTTTATCAGTGTATGGTCTAGCAGGGTTTTACGACCGAGGTCTGGAGGTCAGTGTCCCCCCTTATCCTGGGGTCCGTATGTTCACACACTTTAAGACGCTAAATCTCAAATGGGAGATCTGGGTTGAGGTTAATGTTTATTTAGATGGTCAGCAAATGGAGTCAGTTTGAAAGGTAATAAAAACTCTGTCTCTGTTCGCCGAACTGACCAATCCTGAAGAGTCAGAGGTTTAGTCAACCTCCGGTTGGGTCACTTATTTAACCTGAAAGGGCAAACACGTCTGGAAAGATTTATATCCTGTTTCCTGGGACCAGATAAGGAAACTTTCCTGTAAGGAATGTGTGGGTTTCACATCCAGGGTTGTCTTGATTGCTACATGGCTGACAGTGTGTTCATCTCTGTTCTCACCCAAAGTCATGCAACACTCACAGAAAACGCTGATTGTGTGAACCAAAGCACTCAATATGAAGAGGTTGTTCACACTGCTGGATGTTTCTCCTCTGAAGCTGCTCTCTGCCTCTGTCATTGTTTACTTCACTCATGAAGCTCATCAAGCACGTAGCAAGATCCGGGCATGAACCCGAGCGCTTTATTCGCCTATCAAAGGCAGACGGGTACGGTGATTTCATTCACCACGACTCCAGAAATGATTAAAAAACTACAAAATGATGTATCCGCGCTCCCGCTGATATGCTGACATGCGTACACAGAGCAGAGCTGTCCCCCCGCTACTCTCTCCCCGCCTCGTCTCACACAGTCTGTCAGCCTCTGTCCAGCACCTTCGGAGCAAGCAGGGGCGCCTACAGCAGCGGGGGGGGGGGGGCAATTTGACAACAAGAGTTAATACAAAACCGATTTATTATTATTATCTTTTATTTTATTTTTTTGGAAGTGCTCGTGCCGCCCCCCATGAGTCACAACACAAATGCCGCCCCGGGCGGCTGCCCTGTTCGCCCGTGCCTAGAACCGCTGCTGACTCCACCAGGTGATTTCACTGATTAGTCCCTGCTCTCTGCTTGGAGGTAAGGTAATCAGTGAAATCACCTGGTGGAGTTTTGGGTTGGAAAGAAAACCTGCAGCCTCTTGGCTCTCCATGGCACATGATTGCCCACCCCTGCCATAGACTGTATATAGAATGGAGAGAGTCTGCCTCCTCGCTGGGTGAAGCCACTCCGAGAACAGCATCCTTTGTTGATGGGCTGCAGTAAAGGTCATAAATCCTGCCTCCGCCAGCAAAGCGTATGGGGCTGTGGACAAACTTTAGAAATTTATTACACAGAAAATAAATTTTTCTCCCCCCTGCTTGTGATGTTGACATGTAGTTACTGTCAGACTGGTTTGTGCTCAAGTCCTCTTTTTTTCTGTGAAGCTCCGTTTTTAAAAGTTATTAGGGGGTCATGTTTTCTATGATTGACACCTAATACAGCCTATGGGCGGACAGCCAGGGATTGCGTAGTTCACCCGGAGGATACGCTGTTTGAGCCGAGCGTCATCACAGCGACTCTCTGCGACTGCACGGCCGAATGCGTGCCTCGCTACTGGGCAGCGCTGGTTTCAGGAAATGAAGACAATTCCCGGAAATACCGAGAGCTATTTGGCGTTAAATCCGTATAGAGGCGGTAGGCGAAACCAAGTTGTCCATAGTATATACAGTCTTTGGTTCCCGCTCTTTTATAGAAATCATTTTCCAGGACTTTTCCAGGACGTTTTCATCCTGCCTTAAAAATGATTGATTTCTAACATTGTGGCATGAACATTGTCGGTTAGCTTTCTTTTTAGTCTGGCTTTTATGTCTCACTATAATAAATTTATGGTTTTTATTAGGTTTTAATCTTTATATACTCTACTTTTCTACAAACAGATTTTGTTGACTGACTGTTTCAGTCACTGAAATTATATTTTGCCAGCTTTAAAATTTCTTTTTGTCACCATTAATTTACACGGGAAACATAAAAGAGCCTTACTCTTTGGACTTCCAGTTAGCCATGCTTTGCGCCCATACCCTGCTCTTGAAAATGTCCGCGTATATTGTCTGCTGTTCTCTGTGGTCACTCGCTGAGCGGCGGCGTCTGGTCGATCTGGACCGAGCTCTTCCAGCTTTAATTTATCCTGCAGAGTTCTCCTCTCAAACGGGACCTACTTGATGGACAGTGCAGTGTTCTCCGTTAAATCACTCGATAGGGGATTTGCGGTCGCCATTTCCACGTCCTCTATCATTAGCAGCCAAGTGCAGAGTGAGGGCGGACCGGCTCAGAGTAGAGCAGCTAGCTACGTCAGACGCACATCGTAACTATGCGTCCATTTGTGGCCAATCTGGTTATGAACGTGCTTACATCATTTAAATTTGGGATGCCGGGGCACTGGTCCCTGGCGCCCATTAGGGATTTTTATTATGTGGCTAGGATAAGCTAACTTTTTGATGCAGAATTGTGATATGAGCATGCGTGAGGAAGCAGAAAGCTTGGGCGCTGGCCCGTAGCGCCCCTAACACTAATGCACAACTGTGATCTGAGCATGCGTGAGACAACAGACGCTCCAAGTCTGCCCCGGCGCTGGGTAGAGAGATTGCTAAGGGACTGAAATACACATTTAATGGGATGATTAATATAATAGCGCCATTTCCTTACTTTGAGACTAATTTTCAGGGAGACAGCAGACATCTCTTTTTGCTCACGCAGCTCAGGCGGGGCTCCGCCCGCAGCGCCCTTGTATACTGGCCGCCACTGTTTCCTACCCACGTTAGCAGGGCTTACACTTTCAACTTAAGTCAAATGAGTTCATGAAAGCTACTCAGCTTGAAAGAGTTCATGTAACAAACTTTAAATGTTTACAAGTACTCATAATGCTCTACAATTTTATGAATACTCAAAACAACTTAGTTGACACCTCAGTTTTTAACTTTCAAGTAAGGTCAACTTTTTAAGGGATGAGTGACTGTAACATTTTTTTGAGTTTTAAGTTATTTGGACTTATTTGTTGATTGAAATACACTGTTAGGTTTTACAGTGTACAGAGGCGAACTGCATTTCGGGGAACAAGGCTGTTTTTCATTATTAACAAGATAATCATGTTAGACTAAAAAGATAAACTTCAATTTGTAAATGAAAACCTTTTTCCTAATTCTTCTGTGTTCAAGGATTGGCGTCTTAGCTTTAAAGGAATATTAAAAAAAAAGAGCAACATCCCCTTTTCTCTTAAATAATGAAATAAAGCAGCCTTTTTTGTTTTATATAATCTGGATATAGTGTCTAAATGCAGGTGACAATTGCAAACATAGCTGTCAAAAAATTCTTAACAGAAACAAGGAATATTTAGGATTAATACCACTGAAACTCCATGGAAAACCAAATGATTGTAAAGATTTATTTTGAGTTCTTTAAAAATAATCAAACAATTCATTTCCAGTTCATTGTAGTGTGTGATCAGCAAAGCTGATTTATTCCATGAGATAAAAACATTTCATGACTTTGTACTTTTTTTTTTTTTTAAGATACACTATTTCAGCACACCCTTTTATTAGCATTTTATTCGTTGTCCAGGTGATACATCCGTCCGTACAGACAGGCGGTCACCAGTCCAGCAGTCATGTCTGAATGTTTTAAAGTCACTCTTCCATCTGCAGATTTGTCAAAATGCTTTACTTCCTCTATAACCGCTTGACTCGCCAAAACTGATGGGTACACATATCTGGTTCCAAACTTCCCCTCCATCACAAAGTCCATTTTGGTCTCAGCTTCCTCTACTACCTGTCCACAGGAGCTCGGGTCTGACCCTGCACAACGGATGAGTGCACACACCTGCAGAAGGAAGGATACAGGTGAGACATGTTTTGATGGACAGTGTGTATATCTGTAAACCCCTTTAGTTCATACCTGCAGGGATATGACTCCATCCACAGTGTGCAGCCCAGCAAATGCACCAAATGCATACAGCTCCTCACTGTCACCCTGTGAAATTCGCTTGTACTGTAGGTGACAGCAAAAGGAGCCATTGCACACCTTCACCCTACCCTCTTTTTCATTTAGGAGGACAAATGTGAACGGGTCAGCAATCATGACTGATGTGAATGTGGCTGATGATGAAGGGACTGAAGATGCATCAGAGCAGCTCTCACTGTGACAGAACACAGAATCAGTACCAGGGGATGAAGTGGACTCAGATTTCAATTTCTCCTCCTCTGTGGCCACCCTCTGCCCCAACCACTCTGGGTCTAACACTGGCACCCTGGCCACCAGCAGCTTGCCCTCCTCTGGGTCGCCCCTCTTTGAGTGATGGTAGATGGATGAAAAAGGTGTGTAGATACCACTCCCAGCCATGTTCCAGTTATCATGGCGGAGGTTGGCTGCTAGCACGGTGACACCGGTGCTTCGGCTTAATGATCGATGGTACTGGACAGAGTCAAGCAGGGGGAGGGTGTTTAACCAAGCTGTAGGGTAAGCCAGCTGACGAACACCCTGAAAGGAGCAGGATAGAGTTTGTTTTTTAAAAATAGATCAGACACAGGGACGTAGAGCTAAATACACAATTGTGAGTGGTTTTACCTTTTCCAACAGTGCTATAGTGGGCTTGTGGAAGAGGATGTCAAAGCATATCAGCAGGCCAAATTTTCCAGCAAAAGGAGTATCAAATGTGATGATCTCAGGCTGTGGTGGAGTGTCAAAGGACTCCTCATGGAAAAGGTTGTATTTATGGTAGCGTGCCACCAGCAGGCCATCAGAGCTAGAAGATAATGAAATTAAGAATTCATGTGTTGATGCATTTGCTGGAGTTTAGCCAGATGTCTCTATTTTAGGATCTCAACTTCACCTGAAAACCACATTAGTGTTGAACTGCCAGCGTCCATCAGATGGACAGGAGGAGGTGGGATCTGTGGACAGGGGGCAGGGCTGCCGGTCAGGCATATTAGCTACAATGTAGATGTTATTCCGACGAGCCATACAGCTCAACTGCTGAAGAACCTGTAAAACAACCATTCTGAAATGTAATTCATAATAACAGACTAGTGTTGGCTGCTTGTGGGTATCTTCAAATCAAGATAAACATCAAACACGATGTATATCTGTGCACCTCAGTATTGTTGTGTTTCTCTGGCTCTGTGCAGGGGTTCCAGCTCTCCTGCTGGGGGTCAGGAATTGTTTCAAGATAACCTACGATGGATGTGCGAGTGAAGTTAAACCCATGTAGACCATCTTCGGGAAACACCAGGATCTGGGCACCCTGATAAAGACAAGAAAAGACACAACTGAATAAACATGCCAGGATACTGAATGCACAGTCATTTGCTGTAATATAAGGTATTCAAATTCAAATTTCAAATTCAACTTTATTTGTACGGCAATTTTCAGACAAAAAAATGCAGTTCAAAGTGCCTCACAGAGGCTAAAAAACAACAGTTAACAATAAAACCCAAACCTCCCACTCACACAACCAACCATGGACACACACCCACCTATACTCACCCGCCCATCCACACATACACACACACAAGCGCACACAGTGTGAGAAATTAAGATATATCGTTCAGAGAGACATGGCTTGACATCGAGACATTACGTGAGGAAAGAGCTACCTTTGGGAAACACTGGAGATAAAGATAAAAAATAAAGGATTGAAAAAATAAAAAAGGTAAAAAGAAAGACTAAAACAAGATAATAATATTAGATGAACAAATAAGTAAGAGCTCTTTACCATGTAAAAGGGGTAAAAGAAGTAAAAACCTCTAAGACAAGAAGAAAGAAAAGGACTAAGAGCAGAGATAATTAATAAAATGACATAAAATAAACATTAAGAATTACAATTAAAATGAACATTTGCAATAAGAGAAATATAAAAAAGGCAATCAGTGAAAACCCTGGTTAAAAAGGTGAGTCTTGAGCCTCAAATGTCAACAGCCTGAATAAAAGGGTATGACACTTTTATTGAATTATACACTTACTGTTTATGTAATTAAAAAGAAAATGGCACATGGTGCTAATTAATTTTTAGTGGAGCAAAAAGTACCCCTTTTTATGAGTCGCTACCAAACATTTATAACTTTCCAATCAATCATACCTGCTTAGCGGCTCGTGCAGCCTGCACTTCGTAGATATCCAAGTTTTTCTGCATGTGTTGAAGGGCAGCCTGCCGGGACACCGGGACACGAGGGTCTGGGTTGGTGATTAAATTGTGCTCATACACAGCAGCGATGTATGAGGACTCCATTGCTGGCTGTGTTTGACCAACAGCCAGTGTCAAATAGATACCGACTATGACACTGAATAGTTTCATGGCGTCTCTCCACAGAGACAGAAATGAAGTCAATAAGATCAACTCGGTCTATTATAGCTCTTGAGGGGTCAGGAGTCCAACTCGAGTCTACAGTCATGAGGGGTTAGTCAGCTGTTTTTCTTTTCTTTTTTTTTTCTTTCTTTTGGATTGTTTGTAGTCACTTGGGAAACCTATTTTGCGAAATGTTGACTGAACAAATATACTGAGGATTATTATTATTATCATTATAGATAGGCCAGTGTGTCCCAGTGGCCTTTGAGTTGGAACAGCTGCTCCAAACAGAAAAACAATTGACTTAACTCTATGTGTTCAAGATAAGCCTCTAGTAGACCCAGGGATGCTGAGGAACTTTGAACCATTTCTCCTTTGTTTTTGTCTCTATCTTATGGCTTTTTAGCAGGGGTCTGGGTCCGCTCCAGGTTTTCTGCCTTTTTAATGAGAAGGTTTCTTCTGTGCCACTCTAACTTTCTAAATGCTGAAAGGTGCTCTGCTTATGGTACATTAAGATAAGACTGAGACTTATGATATAAGATTAGAATGAATCTTATCCTACAGTGGTGTTGGCATGACATAGAACTGATTTATAACTCCACCTGCGTACAGATATGTGGATAAAGATATCAGCTGCATAAAAATAACATTTAATTCAGTCAAGTAATATGAAGATTTTACATAAATTTCCCACTTTACTCTTATTTCTAAATCATAATTATGCAGTTACTTAGAACGTGATTCACAAAACAATTTTGTATCAGCACACCTATTCCAGCTGACAGCAAGCCTCAAAAATAGACAACAAAACATACAGAGACCAGGCCATGAACAAATTCCAGTGAAAAACAGCCTGAAGGAAAACCAGGAAAACTCAGCAGGGTTGATTTTTTTCACTTTGATAGAAGAATCCATCACTGCTTTTATCAACATACAGTCAGATCAGCATGAATAAAACCATGAAATCAGGCGGCACCCCTAAAAAGACTTTTTTTTCCTTCACACAACACCATTAATAAATGAGCATGATTAAAAGGTCTTTCTTTCTTTTTCTTTCTTTCTTATGTTTTCACTGAGTGGCTGAAGACACAGGATTGGTCTTGTTGCCAAGATATTTATCGTTCACATAACACAGAAATAGCTCTGATAAAAACAATGATCATGTTACACTGCAGAAAATGATGGGCCAACTCATCTCCCATGCAACACATTTATTTTAACAGGACTCCTGTGAATACACAATGACATACAGGTGAACAGGAGCACATGCTGCATCTTCTGTCAACTCTCACCACGTACTGACCAGACTTCTTCTAGTCTATATCCAATAACCAAAACATGTACACTCGTACTACAAAACACAATACTACAATAGTACTGACATGTTACAAGTGACATGACAGTCTCAATGTTTATAGTTTTTAATCACATACATCCTCCCTATGAACTGCCAAAATCACATAATGCATTTAACTTAATAAAAAGATATCTTAATATACTCAAAATGAGGTTTTATGGTGTTTTTAACCATTGTTTTTAACCTTTTATTAACTGCATGTGTTACATTAAATCTCCTCTGAACAAATGTCTTTTTAAACTCTATTTATGTCCTATTTATTCTCTATTTATTCTCAATGAAATAAACCTAAATTATTCTACACTTTCTGTCTACACAAACATCACATAGTGTAGCTTTAATCTAAAACACTCATGTTAACAAAAATAGACTCTCATCACTGCCTAAGCATTGATATGAGACCACACGTTCACTCTTTACCTTAGCCTCACGTTAAATTGAACTCTTCACCTCACTCTGTATCTCGGTTTACACAAGCATCTGCCTAGAATAACACATCTACTCTACTTGACATAAGTTTTGGCCATTAACTCATGCTTGCACAGGGATTATGTGCATCTAAAGTAGAAAGTTTGACCTATCAGAGCTAATACAACATAAAACACTTCTCTGGTTCATTACCGCGATAGCCGCGCACTAGAGTCCGCCATTTTAGATACACAAACGTGATGAGTCGCCTTCACGGACTCATAAACTTGTGAACTCGTTCTGCAGATCGACATCCTTTACATTCTAAGTTGATCATATTTTTTTTTTCTTTCTGTCCTTTCCTTCAATTCTTTTCTTTCTTTGATTATAAAACGTTTTGTAGTTTGGCAAGTAAAGGTGTTGAATAATCAGCATAAGTTACAGGATTTTGTTGTCTGACCACCAACACAACTTTAAAGTAGACTGAATAAAAATAATCATAATGTTTTTTTTCTTCCATCCATCCATCCTTCCTTTCTTTTTTTTTTGTTTGCAGAAGATTCAAGATTAGTCTTGTCTGCAAGATTTTTATTACTACCACAATTTAGAGACAGTTTCATGAGGGCCTTTTTTGAAAATATTGTATGTTTCTTTCATCCTACTCTCCCTCCGTTTTTCCTGTTTTTTCTTTTTCTCTTTTTTTCTGTCTGACTTTTTTTCCCATCATCACTCTTTGTCCGTGTAGATTCTCATTCATCCAGGTCATGGTTTTCTTGTAGACTCCAAAATAAGGCAACTGGACTGTGTAGAGTTGAGAAGACGTTTTGCCTCTTATCCAAGAAGCTTCTTCAGTTCTAAAATTGCTAGTGTGAGGAGCAGATATTTATCTTACTGGAGAAGGGGGACAGTTAACGACTGGGTGGAGTTGAAAAGAATGGGTCGTAGAAACCCATCTCCAGGTGTTCCCCCTTGAGGGTCGTTAATCTGAAAGGGTCGTTGACGACCCCTGTCATGTGACCACATGACTCATGCCACCTGAGTCATGTGGTCCCAGGTGTGAATGTTTGTGGAGTTTCCTGGGGCGAGAGCTGAGAACTGCATTAGTGCCGGAGAGGTTGTGCCTGAGTCCACCCCCTCTGTTCAGAGAAGGTTTCTCCAGTTTGGTAAAGATGGCTTCTTTAACTCCTCTTTCAAACCATCTGTCTTCTCTAGCCAACACCTGTACATTGCTGTCCTCTAAAGAATGACCCGTGTCCTTTAAGTGAAGGTGGACAGCTGAGACCTGACCTGAGGAAGTGGCGGTTGTTTAGTCTCCCCAATGTACAGGTCCAAGCACTCCTCGCTGCACTGGACAGCGTACACCACATTACTCTGTTTATGTCTCTGTGTTTTGTCCTTGGGATGGACTAGCTTCTGCCTCAGTGTGTTGCCAGGCTTGAAATGAACACACTGAGGCACACTGAGGTGTTGTCTTGTTCATGCAATCTCCTTCTGCATCACAGGGTTGGTCGTTATCTTTGGGCTCCTCTTGAGTGATTTTAGGCATTTGACTCTTTGAAGTTACCTGAAAATTAACATGAATTTCAGCCCTTCAGTTACTGTGAAAATTGTGTATTTTTTTCTTCAAGGCCAGCATATTGTCCTTTTTAACCTTTTAAGTATTTATAGAGTTATTTATCTTCAAATTCGTAGAAACACACAGTACATCCATCATTCATCTTTTCTTCAGATTTAAAATGCTGTTTACTATAGAACAGGGGTCTTCATATAAATTTTCAGTGGGTCCACCTGAATGAAATGCCTGCAGGCCTGGGTCCAGGGATTTTTATTTATTAATTTTTTTACAGTGCATTACTCTTTTGAAATATTCACTTCATTTGTATTGCCAATAACTGCCTACTTTCAATTGGCTGTGTGCTTCCTGCGGGTAAAATGAATGCAAATGACTCGGTCCACTCGCCATAAAACACTAACATGGGATTTTTTCAACCCTGCGATATATATTGCGATTTTAAAAATATAGGAATTTTCATCAGATGACCTGAATAGCGTTTAATGTTATACTGCACCACTGAAATCTTGAGGACAGTTAACCTGCTCTGATCTTACCTCTTTTTGTGAATGTTAGAACGTTTCTCAAAGTGTGTGGCCCGCCCCCCTAGGCGCGGAGCCATCCCTGGGGGGGGGGGGGCGCGAGTCACCCGGCTACAAATAAGTTGGTGTGCACCCGCGATAGTGCAGCACCTCCTGTGCAGGCACCACGCTCGTCACGCATGCGCCATACTGAAATCGCCACACCAGTAGGGGGAGTCCAGCGCCCTAAATCCTGTTTCTTTATTTTACCACAAAGAAGCAGCGTTTGTTGTGGTGGACGCTCAAGGCGAGATACTTGTCAGGTGTTGAGCGGTAGAATGCACCCCTGCCGTAAAATGCTGTACAGTTTATATACCCAAGCACACCGCCGTATGTGCATTTTTGAGACACATAAAAACAGAACGAAAGTTGTCACGATCAAATACTTGTGTCTTTTTAAAATATGAGATCCTTTTCTTCCACTTTAAGAAGTTAACAAGTGGAGGGGATGCAGGGGGTGCATCTACGGCAGGGGTGCATTCTACGGCATAACACCTGTTAAGTATGCTGCTATCCCCACCTGTACAAGGTCCTCCTGAAAGCGTACAAAGACGCTTTCTGCTGTGCTAATTCATGGTGGGAACTAGCTCAGAAACCAGGGCGGAGATAACCACCGACGCCGTGCTATGCCAACAGCTGCTCCGCTCCTCTCGCTGTGGAGAGCCCCAAGAGGAGCTGAAGCTGCTCCGTTTCGCGTTGTGCAGAGTCTGTGCCGCGGAACCAATGTTTGGACGTCGGAATTTTTTTAGCAGCGGACAACCCGCGCTTTCACCTGTCACCGTAACAACCAGCAACTGCGTTCAGATCAGAATAATAAATTGTATATAAAAGTACAGAATGGATAGATATTTGACAGGGATGAAAAGAAAAGCTGAAGCCAGCAATACAGCATGCCTAGATGACGGTAGGCCAAACCAACAAAAAGCCAAGTCAAGGAAATATGATGAAGCTATCTTACTATCTTGCTCTTGGATTCACAGGATTTTTTGTACTTACTCAACTTGATATTGTTTGATTATTATTGTTCTTGCAACATAATCATAATCATAATCATAATCATAATAATAATAGATTTTATTTTTAACGCGCTTTACATTTGAAAACAAATCTCAAAGTGCACAACAAGACAACAATAACAGTAAAATCAAGCAACAGGGCAA